TCTCTCTCTCTCTCTCAATCATGGAAGAAACAAAATTTTTGAAAAAAAAAAATCAATGAGTTTGGGAACCAGCAGTTAGCGTAATGGCTATGTCGCTGGACTCCCACGTAGTCAACCGCGGTTCATGTCCCGGACCTGGTGGCTTAAAACTCACGCCGGGCGCGTGTGCGTGCGTGCCCAAGATCCCGAGAGGAGAATGGAGGAGAAGGGATTGCGGTGTGACCATCCCCCCTGGGGGGTGATTTCTCACTTTCTGTCTCTATGTCTCTCTCTGTCTGTCTGGCGAGCGCACGCGCCCTACAGTGAAAATCTCTCCAAAAAAAAAAAAATCAATGAGTTTATTTTGAAGTATGAAGCTTGAAATTAATACATATTTTCTTCAGAGCACATTTTCTGTGAACTTCATAAAGACTCCTTGTGTGTAATTAACATCTTGGTTCTAGAAAATCTTGAGTTTGCAGGTTACAATCTAAGTTGCTCTTGCTTTGTCATGTTTTTAAGAGAGATTTTTGCTATAGGGCACATGCACTGGCCAGAGAGAGAGAGTGAGTGAGTGAGAAATCACCTCCCAGGAGGATGACCACGCCACAATTCCTTCTCCTCCGTTCTCCTCTCAGGATTTTGGGCATGCATGCACATGTGCCCAGCATGAGTTTTAAGTCTCCAGGTCCAGGACTAAAGCCATGGTTAACTATGTGGGAGCCTGGTGATGTAACCATTATACCAACTGCTGGCCCCACGATCTCTAAGTTTAACTTATTTGTTTGCATGTTTCTCAGGCCCAAAGTATCTCATATCAAGATTTTGATAGCTTTATTTTTCACATTTTATTCCTTTTTGCAGCTAATGAATTTAGGATTCTTTAAACAAAAATTCCTAGTAAGCAAGTTGTATGACTATTCTTTACATCTGTAAATACTCCTTTTTAGTAAATTTTCTTTCTTCCTGACATATTTCAACCAAGGTTCTCCATAGTTTTGAAGTTCAGCTCATCTGTTTAGCTATATATTTCTGTTTCCATTCTTCACACCCTTCTATCTTCCCATGGCAATGTTCACTTAAGGCTGTATCCATGGTTCTCAGCCCTGTCCACCCATTAGATTCACCTGGGAAACTTAAAACACACAAATACCTGGGTTCCATTCCCAAAGTCTTTGACTTAGTTTATCTGGGTTGAGATCCTGTTGCAGATAAGATGTTTGAAAGTCCCAGAGGTGATTCCAAGTGTAGCCACGATTGAGAACCCTTGCTCTGTATTATTGATCTTATTGCCTCATGACTACTTGTGAAACTTTCTTCCCCATTGCAATTTTCAGCACTTTTTCTTCTGGAGGATATGTGGTGCATATTTGAATTCTAATGGGTGTTGAATTTGATCTAGAGAATACTCAGGTACAAAGCTCTCTATGGGACACCCCAGATGATCCACAATTTAAGACTGTCATCTCATACTCTAGGAGAGTACAACTGATATAAAAATATCAGATAGGAAAAAGCCTAATACACCTCTCCTGTGACCTACAATAGGAAGGATACAAGAGGGGTAAAAATAAAATATCAGGAGGCTCAGATCAGCTTGGGAAATCAGGAAGCCTTAAGGATGAGGGTGCAATCTTAAGATGGACCATGTGCACAACCTTGAATATGCTTACATAGATGATTTCAAAAGAAAGAAATGAAAAATGGTAGAGAGATAATAAGAATGAGAGGCTTTCTTGTGGAAGGGAACAGAACAAAAAGTGAAGAAGTGGACATTTGTGAAACCCATTCAGGAAACAGTTTGTGTATGAACCAGAAACAGCTACAGAAGTGGGTACAAAAGTAGAAAGTCTGTGGGGTAAAATCATGGAGGCTTCGAATGCCTGGTGGAGGAGTGTGGACTCCTTCAAAGTTTCTGAGCAAAGGAGTAATACACTCAGACAACTGAACTTTAAAGAAAAACAATCTTCCTAATTATCTACATGTACAACACTGAAAATGACATTTGTGTCTGATCTGAATTGCATAATGTGAATATTGTAAGTGAAGTTCTCTGATGCTAGCATCCTTTTCATTATGTGGTCAATGCAGTCATCCAGAAATAGGTCAATAAGAAATAGAAACATAAATGACATCTGTTCTTAGATGGCAATGTTTCATTAGCTTAGCTGAAAAGAAAATAAATGAAGGTATAAAAGGAAAATGGCCATGGTAGTTCCCCCCAAAAAAAACCTGGCCTAAGAGACTATGCTGTCTTCTTTGGATGGTTATCAAAAGAAAGGAGCAAATAAAATTTCCTTCACATATTATGACTTTCTGACTTGCTAAATGTAATTATTTACTTTATCCTAAAGTCTAAACTACTCTTTCATATAGCTATGCTGACTTCGCTACCATGCCTTTGATCAATACATGCACTATTTGTTTCTGAAAATGGCTACAGAAAAACTACTGGCATGGTATGATACCTTTAGGCATTAAGTCTTTGATCATGCCAGCTCTTCTGTTAATGGACAGGCTGACAACAAGTTCACTTGTGTATTGCCTCAGTCGTATCCGCCCCATCACACCACCTTATGGAAAGCTCTTTTGGAATATACACCAAGCTTTATTTAACTTATTTCAAGTATTTAATTGTATTGCTCAATAGACAAATAATGCAGTGGAATATTTAACACATATTATAGAACTAAATTGGTGTTTATAAGCACTGGACACAGATTTCTCTTACTATCTTTTTTAAGAAAGATTTTTGCTGTAGGGCACGTACACTCACCAGAGAGACAGAAAGTGAGAAATCAACCCCCCCCCCCCCACCCACCCAGGGAGCATGGCCATACCACAGTCCCTTCTCCATTCTCCTCTTGGGATTTTTTGGGTCTGCAAACACATACGTTCAGCATGAGTTTGAAGCTACTGGAACTGGAACTTGAAAGGCCATTGGCCATGTGGGAGTTCAGAGGCATCTGTTATGACATCTGCTGGTCCCGTGGTTTCTCTTATCTTTGACTTAAAGTTGGTCCTAGATCTGTGTGTGTTTATGCACACACACGAACTTCTATGTAATATCTCAATGAGAAGGAACTATGAAGAATTCAGATAGCTATGCAAATATTTAAGACTTAATAAATATTATTATGGGTCTAAACATATAGGTCAGCATTTGTCTTTGCCAGTATCATGAAGTAATATTTTATAAAATTATAGTTAAGATCCATGATTCTCATACTGATGTTCTATATGCTCTGGGTAACCTGTAGACAGTTTTGAGTCTTCTAGTTGTTATAAACTTTAAAATTTGATTGAAAAAACAGGTTAAGTCAATTCTTAAGATAGAAAACCCAATTTCAGACAAGATGGAGTAAATACAATCTATTTTACTTCTCTTGCTAATCACAATAAATACTCTGAATAAAATATATGTCATCTCTCAGAACACTAGAAGAGGTGGAAGAAAGAATATACTGTCTAGGACTTTAGAACTTAGGAATGACAAGACAGGGAGTTTCACAGATTTTTTTTTCTTGTCTCCTAAATGTCCCAACCTGAGTGCCAGAAAAGCTTTCAATACATTAAGATGCAACCCCCCAAAAAACAAACAAACAAAAACCATGAGAAAAATCAAAGGCGTTGGGCAAGGGTGGCCCGTGGAACATAAACCTTTCATTTATACCTAGCTGTTGGAAGGATAAATACCACAAAAAAAAAAAAAAGAAAAAAAGAAAAAGAAAAAAAAGAAAAATGCTCTTCTTCCACCCAAAGAATGGTAAGAGGGTCAATGAGAAACATCCCTCTTCTGTAGAGCCCATGATCAGAAAGCTGCCTTCCACTCCCATCTTGGCAACCCTTCCCTATTGGGTCTGTGGTTTGAACTGACTTGCAGTCCCAAACTTCACCAAAACAAAAGAGAAACCTGGAGAAATCCGAATAAGGATTGTGATTGAGCTCGTAGTATTGTACCAAAGTACAATTTCATTTTTTTTAAAAGAAAAATATCTATGTAGTGGTAGTTCATATATTTATAAAACAGTATGTCAGTTATTCAATTCTAAGTTACTTATGACTTCTTTCTGAACACCTGGGCACCAGAAAACAAATGTTCTATGTGATAACAGTTTTATAAAAATGGCTGACTTTGCCACTAAAATAGATTTTCCAATACTTTTGCTAAACCAACTGTGACTAAAGAATGGCTGTTTCTTAACTTTCAGAATTTGAGTTCTTAATCTAAGAAGAGTAACTATTTGAAAAGGAAAGTAAAATTATTCTTTCCCTCTGGATAATGCTTTTATAGTTTACATGAAACTGGTCATAGCCAGAGAATATTACAAGTTAAGCTCAAGTGGATGGGATGTGGGGAGGGGAGTACACGGTTATAAAAGCTTTATAAGACACTAGTTGAAAGATGCTAACATTTTTTGTTTTAATGGAGAAAAGGTATTTTAAAGTGATAAATAACAGCAATAATACTTGGATTTTGTGTCACATCTTTTCCCTAAGGAATAGAAAGTGTTCACATTTAATCTCATCACTTAACAGATAGAATTCTATATTGATGGCTCTTTGCTAAATGACACCATTAAGTGATGGGGTTGTTACGTGTCTTTCCTTAGGCCATAGTGGAAATCAGAGTCGTAAATTAGGACCCTGCTCTCCATAAGTGTCTTTGGCTCACAGTGGAATTAAACAACGTTTCCAACTAAATCTCTGCCTGAAGACCAATTGCATTGAGTGGTGGATCCCACGAGATCACCTCTTTCTTAGTAGCATAGCTTTCAGAATTTTCTGCAGGCTCAGTGCTATCAGTATCCAATACATGCATTTTGTTTACTGTGATTTAATTTCTTCTCAAGTAGTTTTGAGAAATCCAACAACTCTAAGTTACTGAATGGGTTGGCGATGTCAAGAGCTGTTCATTGTGAGGAACAAAGCTTTTTTATCCAAAGGTTTGTATAGAGACCTCCTCAGAGAAAAGACAATACTATTAAATGGAACATTCACTTCCTCCTGCCGTTACTTACTTTCTTCGTTCTGTTTCAAATCTGTGGAGTAGTTTCCGTAGACCACCATTCTTAAATCCCTGAAAATGGGCAGCTGGGGCTCCCACAGTGATGACATCGTAGAGAGCATCTGGAACGGGAACAGACAAGGAGCTGAACACTGTGCAAACATTTATCTCTGGCATGGTGTTCGCATTGAAGCGTACATGCTGTGGGAAAGTCTGAGATATTACTCTGCTTAATTTTGCAGGAATAACTACGAACTCGCATCTCAAGGGGGCAAGAGAAGCTAATCAATCTTTCTAAAAGCCACCTGTGCACCTAAACAAGTTATAATATTTCCCTGATTTATGACTACATCTTAATTGTATGCTACTGTGTAGAACAGTGTGTTCCCTCATTCTTCCATATACTTACTGAGATAACGTGTTAATTGGTCTTTTGTGTATTTTACTTTATTGAGTTTTGCATCATTTAATTTGCAATCATATTGAAATTTAACAGTAACGAACAATCTTTCAACCAAATTTTACAGGGAAAAGAACCAAAATATTAATGCATTTTGGTTTAAGGGCAGAATAGTTACCACTGTACTTTTTAAAAAATCTATACAGAATAGTTTTCTGCTTGTGTATACTAAATCTTACACAATTTTGAATGCATGCTTTTGCAATTTCTTTAGGTGACATAGAAAGAATACAGAAAATGTCTGCTGATCTACTTTCTAGCAAGATACTTTGTTTTATAATAAAAAAATCCATACATTTAAATTGAAACTCAATCCTTTGATCTTAAAAGTCATCAAGTGTGATCCATATTAATTTTATGGCTTTGAAACATGTCATCAGTTTTACATTCTCATGGAAAGTATCCCCATAAGAAGGAAGATAGTGAATGCCCTCTTGTTAAACTACATTTTATTTGAGAAAACTAATTTCATAGTAGATCCTTTTCAAATTGATTTCAATACTGACATATCGATGGTTTTAAGATCTAATTTACTGGGAAAATATAAATTATTTTATTGGCTTCGGGTAAACACCATAACTTCTTCAGAGTAGTTTGATCTAAATGCCTCTGAAATTTTTTAAAATTCAGAAAAAATGTCTTCAAGTGAAAGACCTTTGCAGCATTCAGAAATACAAGGCCACAAAAAATACAATGCAATTCAAACTACTATTAATAAGGCATGTATTAAACAATTATCTAACTGATCAATATGGTGGCAACTTCTTGTCCTTTTAAAAGGTTAACTGCACTTCGAGTCCCAGACCTGGTGGCTTGAAAAATTATGTGCATGAGTGCCCAAGATCACAAGAGGAGAGTGAAAGAGAAGGGATTGTAGTGTGTCCATCCCCCTTGGGGGGGGAGACTTCTTATTTTCCCTCTCTCTGTCTCTCTCTCTCTGGCAAGCATACACAGCCTGTGGCAAAAACCTCTTAAAAAGAAAAGGGGGACCAGCAGTTGGCATAATGGCTATATCTCTGGACTCCTGCATAGTCAACCACGGTTTGAGTCCTAGACATGGTGGTTTAAACTCACACCAGGTGCATGTGTGTGGAGTGCCCAAGATCCAGCGAGGAGACCAGAGGAGAAGGAGTTGCGGGTGACCAACTCCAGGGCGGTGATTTTTCACTTTTTGTCTCTGTCATCTGGGTAAGCGCACGTACCCTATAGCAAAAACATACCCCCCCCCCAAAAAAAGGAAAGGAAATGTCAATATCTCCTGTTCAGGAAAATTTTAATCTAGATCAAGGGGTTTTGGAGTGTCTGTGGTTATATATAGACTATTTAATTGCATCAGTTCTGCTTCATGGAAAGGGGTCACAGCTGCCCTAAAAAGTCATGAGATTGCTCCAAAGTTAAAAATGCTAACTTTGTGTCTACTTTAATCTGTCTGATCACCTGAAGAGAAAACCAAGATCATGAGAAGTTAACTGCTTTTCCTAAAGCCCCAGAGACCTTATACCTAGGGTCTGTGACTTTATTTTTGGAGAGATTCTTGATATAGGGCACGTGCGCTCACCAGAAAGACTGAGAGAGACAGAGAGACAGAAAGCAAGAAATCACCTCCCAGGGGGGATGGCTATGCTGCAATCCCTTCTCCATCCTCCTCTCAGGATCCTGGGCATGCAAGCACATGCACCTGGCGTGAGTTTAAGCCACCAGGACTTGAACCACGGTCAACTAAGAGTCAAGCAACATAGCCATTACACCAACTGCTGGTCCCAAGGGTCTCTGACTTCTCACCCAGAAAGTTTGTTTGTTGTTTATAAGTCAAAGGCTATGTAAGCTCACCAGAGAGAAACAGAGAAAGTGAAGGAGAAAGCCCTTCCTAGCGAGGCATGATCGGGTCACAATCCCTTCTCCTCCATTTCTCCATCCTGTCTTGATTTTTGCCAGTATGCTTTTCAAGCCAGCATGGCTGGGATTCAAACACAGAGTTGACCATGTGGGATCTGGCTCCCTTAATCACAAAGGTCATATGACCAGACCGTTAGTCCCTGGAATATCAGGTCTGTCACTAACAAGTTGTCCAGCAGTAGGAAAATTATTTAACTTTTGTGTGTATCAGTTTTCTCAGTATAAAAATCAAGTAAGAAGTAAATAAAAGTGTCAGCGTTTCATGTATATTGCTTATGATTATAATTTTCTCTATAAAAGCAATCCCACCAATTAAACAAGGAAAGGTGATAAGGTAACTTCGTTCATTTCTCCATACAAATCAACTTTTCACTCTTAAATGAAAGTGACACTGAGGCTCTCTCTTCTTAGAGTTGGTTCCTGAGTTAATTTAAACTAAATGCACAAGACAGGTGATTATATGCTACACCACAGACAACACCAGCAGCACACAGAAATGACTAAAACTATTATTCTGCCATTAAAAAGAAGGAGTCCCTGTCATTTGTAACATGGATCTACCTAGAGGTCATTATGTCATGTGAAATTAGCCACTACAGGACAAATACTCCATTTACGAGGATGCTAAAGTGTCAGACTCATGAAAACAGAGAATATAAGGGTGATTATCAGGAGGTGGAGGGAGGAGAAAATGGGGAGTTGCTATTCGATGAGAATTAAGTTCCAGTTGTGCAAGAAGAAAAAGTTCTAGCGATCTGTAGTAACACTTTACTAGTTAAGAGGATAGATCTTACATTAGGTGTTTTTCAAAGAAACAACTGAGCTAGCTCATGGTACAGTGGTTAGGGCAGTTAGAGTTCATATGGTCCATATGGTTCAAGTTCTGGAACTGAAAGCTTGAAAACACACACCAGGCACATGTGCGTGGAGTGCTCAAGATCCAGCGAGGAGACTAGAGGAGAAGGAGTTGCGGGGTGACCAACTCCTGGGGGGTAAGACCTGTGTGTATGCATGCCTAAAATCCCAAAAGGAGGAAGAATTGGTGGAGAAGGGATTGCATTTTGACCAGTCCCCACAGGGACACTTCCATACTCCCTCTGTCTCTGGTGCGTTCTCTCTCACTCTCTCTCTCTCTCTGGCAAAATTCAAGCAACATAAAGAAGCAAGCAAACCAAAATCCCTCAAAGAGATCCAGGAAACTTTGAGATGTAATGGATATATCTATTACCTCGATTGTGGTGATAGTTTCACAAGTGTATGCCTATGTTCAAATTTATTAAATTTTATATATTAAATGTATGCAGTGTTTCTATATCAATATTTAATAAAGCTGTTTAAAAAATGTATACATATGTGTGTGTGTATATATATATATACACACAAACGTCTGGATAATGAGTGTGTATGTGTTTACATGTATGTATACATATATATATATGTATACACACACACACATATCTATATCTATTTTGGCTCATATTCTAGAAAAGAACAAAGAGCTTATAGCCAAAATGGTCAATGTTTCCACAGAATTTGATTTAAGTTTTTATATGTTGTCTAAAACAGGAAGAAATACAGAATTATTTTACAAAGTCTTCATTGTTGACTGAATGCTTTTGTTGTTGTTTTTGTAAGGCATGTGCTCTCACCAGAGAGAGACAGAGAGAAATAGAGAGTTAGTAAGTGAAACGTCACCTCTCCAGGGAGGATGCTCATGCCTCAATCCCTTCTCCTTCACTCTCTTCTCAAGATTTGACCATGCATGCACTTGCAACTAACATATTTTTCAGGTCTCTGGGTCCAGGTTTGGAACTGGACAGCCAACCATGTGGGATCCAGCTGCCTTAACATCCATGCCACCTGCTGGCCTTAACTGACTACTTTTTAAAATTTTTAGTCTTGAGATAATATTACATTTCCAGGAAAGTGGAGAAAGTGGAAGAGATTTCCTGTATAGTCTTAACTGAGGCTCCCCTTAGATTAACATGGTTCATAACTATAGACTTAATTGCCAGAACTAAGAAATGACTCTTTTTTGTTGTTGTTGTTGTTGGAGAGGTTTTTCACTACAGGGCGTGTGCGCTCGCCAGACAGACAGAGAGAGACATAGAGTCAGAAAGTGAGAAATCACCCCCAGGGGGGATGGTCACGCCGCAATCTCTTCTCCTCCATTCTCCTCTTGGGATCTTGGGTGCACACACACATGCCCGGCGTGAGTTTTAAGCCACCAGGTCCGGGACGCAAACCGCGGTCGACTACGTGGGAGTCCAGGGACATAGCCATTACGCTAACTGCTGGTTCCCAAGAAATGACTCTTGATGCTATTCTAAGAAAAGCAGGCTACGTATTCAGCTTGGTTTTTCCACAACGCCTCTTTTCTCTTCCAGGATTTTATACTTTGTTTAATTGTCATGTCCTCTGATGCTTCCTCTAATCTATGTCGGATCCTTACTCTTTCATTGTCTTCAATGAACTTCATGGTGTTTTTTTTTTTTTTTTTAATTTTCTTTTTGAGAGGTTTTTACTATAGGGTACGTGCACTTGCCAGAGAGACAGAGAGACAGAAAGCAAGATATCACCAGCCGGGGGTGGGGGTGGGGATAGCCACGCCACCATCCCTTCTCCTCCATTCTCTCAGGATCTTGGACATGCACACACACACACACCCAGCGTGAGTTTAAGCCACTGGGTCCGGGACTCGAACCACAGTCGACTATATGGGAGTCCAGCGACATAGCCATTACGCTAACTGCTGGTCCCAACTTC